GTTCATTTTTCGGGGGGAGGCTTCAACCGAGGGGGGGGGGGTGATGTTAACCGAAGAATTAACTTCGAACGGCCTAAATACGTATAAGCTTAACTTTGTTTATTTACATCAAATTCGTGAAATTTTTTGTTTATTTTTTCGATCATATAATAAATATAGTCAATTCTTTCTATAACAAACTGAAGATTCTGGAAGAAAAAAAAATCATTATAGGGAATTTACCATGTTTTCCTAAGAACCCATGCCACTTTTTATACCGAACTATTATGGAATTTTAAAATTTTGAGTTCATTATAGGAAGATTCGTTATATCCAGAGTCGACTGTATATCAACGTTTAAAATAAAGTTTCACAATTAGATAGACAATTGTTTTCATCCTTTCTAATTATTTCAACACGATCATTAAAAGAACCAAGAAATACAGGATAATGTTTATATTTAACACTTGTTGGCATGGTTTAGCATTGTAAAATGATCATAAGAATCTAGAAAGTCCAAGAAGAAATCAACAAGCTTGCTTTGAGCATAAAACTTTGACATCGTTTAATTTCCTCTTCATGATTTTCCTTGACTTCATCCAATTTATATTACCGACTAAAGCTTGACACTTGCTACATGCAAGACAATTTTATCATTTTTTTAAAAAAAATTTCTAAAGTCTGAAGCAATTTATACATTAGACCACGCAAAGTTAATTTTTCGTTTGCATTACCAGATCGACACATTTTTTTCAATTTTTTTTTTTAAAAAATTTCTTTAAATGTTGATTGTGCCAATTATTAGATTTCTGCCATTTATTTTTTCCCATCATTTTAATCGGTTTCACCCGACGGAGACCACTAAACATCCCAACCCAACCTTAAAAATTCCGAATCAACTTAAACTCTGTTCCTACCTACGAAATATACATAAGTATATAGCTCTTAAAAGGTTAATAGTTTATTAGAGGCTATATAACACTGGTTACAATAAAGAGTGGTTATATATATAGTTCATTACATTGATTGCTTACTGGTCACATGATTATAAATAAATATAATTGGCTAGATTATATTTATTATATATATACTTGAACACACAAAACTCGATCTGAGCCAATCAAATTGATTTATAATACTGCAAACCTGATACAGGCAGACCTTCAGTGCATATCCTATGAAACACCTTCCTAAATGCACATCTTTACTTGGGCCCAACTAATATTACATCTATAAATTTTTACCTTCCTAAATGCAATACCTCTCTAAGTGCACATTTGACTAAATTTTAATATATGGTCCCATTGTATTGCATTTAGAGAGGTCTGACTATATCTTATAGGTATCTGATCTTTTGAGTATCAGTTATCAGAAATGACAGGTTATCAGATTTGAATTATGGAACAGACATGGTGGATCAATTTTTTATCGGATATAACAGATTATCAGCTTTGACAAGATTGGTTTTGAGCAGGGTTAGCAAATGATTTTTAAATGAAATAAATGACATTGTTACATTGTCATTTGTCACTTTGTCATTTAGAAAGCAAATGACAAATGACAAAAATAGTTTATATTTAGAAATATTAAGATTCTAAGATGCTAAGATTTTGTGTTACTTTGAATAATTTAGGATTTGTTGATCCTAAAATACCCAAAGTCTTAACAATTTTGGGGGTTAGTGTTAGTATTTGAGATTTTGTTCTACTTTTATATGACTAAGATGATCTTTGATCGACATTTGGTTTTTGCGATTTATATGTGATTTCTTTATTTTTCTTTCATTCTTTTTCATTTTTATTGTTTCATACTATTTTATACTAAATTATGCTAAATTATGAGATTTTCTTTAGTGCTTTGTAAGAATCAAGACCTAAAAAGTATCTTCATTGCATATCTTTGGGAGTCTTAAGTTGTATATATAGCCTTTTGATTCGACTTTCTGATAAGTCTTCAGTCTTCAATATATCTTTTTGAGTAGTTTAGAATTCGAATTCTCACTTGAAATATCTTTATTGTTTATTTTCTTTATTTATTTGTTTATTTATTTATTTATTTCTGTCTTTGATTATTTTATTACTTATTTATTGATATTTATTTAATTATTTATTTCTATAATAAAGAAACCCTTGATTAATCATATAACAAACATATTTAATAAATATCAAATTTACACAATTTCTTGTTTAATACATAAATTTATTATTCTATCTTATTTTAAGTTTACTATCAGAGTGGAAATTGGCATCAATCAATATTGCTTAATCGCTCTTCCGAATCTAGATAGTAACATATGGTGCCGATTGTGTGAACTACACTATAAAATTTACTTTTACCTATAAATAACTTTGATATTCATTTAGGATTAAATTAGTTATATGATAGATATCATAGAATGTTCTCGATAACCCTGAAATTGTTAATTATTTTCATCAAAATTTTTCTAATTTTTCATATCCAGTTTGTTATCTCATAACTGAACACCCATCTTTTCATTTTGTCAATTTTGCAAATAGGCTTAATAATAATTATCCCATTACCAATCATTCTCAAGCAACCATCAGACTCTTCCTCAAGGTTTATTAAGTCTTCACCTTCAGATCCTATTTCTTCAATTTTATTTTTAGCAGCTTCTTCTTGAGGGTTGTCAGGATTCACGTTGAAATGATCATATTGTTGATATGCTTGAAAAAAGGTGTCAGATACTTTCTGATAGCTTGGTGGATTCGCTAGATATTGAAAATCAAAAATAAGGTTGTAAATAGTATTATCAGATAAATTATTAATAGGTTGATTATCAAGGTGTTCAAAAAGTCTGATGGTTGCTTGAGAATGATTGGTAATGGGATAATTATTATTAAGCCTATTTGCAAAATTGACAAAATGAAAAGATGGGTGTTCAGTTATGAGATAACAAACTGGATATGAAAAATTAGAAAAATTTTGATGAAAATAATTAACAATTTCAGGGTTATCGAGAACATTCTATGATATCTATCATATAACTAATTTAATCCTAAATGAATATCAAAGTTATTTATAGGTAAAAGTAAATTTTATAGTGTAGTTCACACAATCGGCACCATATGTTACTATCTAGATTCGGAAGAGCGATTAAGCAATATTGATTGATGCCAATTTCCACTCTGATAGTAAACTTAAAATAAGATAGAATAATAAATTTATGTATTAAACAAGAAATTGTGTAAATTTGATATTTATTAAATATGTTTGTTATATGATTAATCAAGGGTTTCTTTATTATAGAAATAAATAATTAAATAAATATCAATAAATAAGTAATAAAATAATCAAAGACAGAAATAAATAAATAAATAAACAAATAAATAAAGAAAATAAACAATAAAGATATTTCAAGTGAGAATTCGAATTCTAAACTACTCAAAAAGATATATTGAAGACTGAAGACTTATCAGAAAGTCGAATCAAAAGGCTATATATACAACTTAAGACTCCCAAAGATATGCAATGAAGATACTTTTTAGGTCTTGATTCTTACAAAGCACTAAAGAAAATCTCATAATTTAGCATAATTTAGTATAAAATAGTATGAAACAATAAAAATGAAAAAGAATGAAAGAAAAATAAAGAAATCACATATAAATCGCAAAAACCAAATGTCGATCAAAGATCATCTTAGTCATATAAAAGTAGAACAAAATCTCAAATACTAACACTAACCCCCAAAATTGTTAAGACTTTGGGTATTTTAGGATCAACAAATCCTAAATTATTCAAAGTAACACAAAATCTTAGCATCTTAGAATCTTAATATTTCTAAATATAAACTATTTTTGTCATTTGTCATTTGCTTTCTAAATGACAAAGTGACAAATGACAATGTAACAATGTCATTTATTTCATTTAAAAATCATTTGCTAACCCTGCTCAAAACCAATCTTGTCAAAGCTGATAATCTGTTATATCCGATAAAAAATTGATCCACCATGTCTGTTCCATAATTCAAATCTGATAACCTGTCATTTCTGATAACTGATACTCAAAAGATCAGATACCTATAAGATATAGTCAGACCTCTCTAAATGCAATACAATGGGACCATATATTAAAATTTAGTCAAATGTGCACTTAGAGAGGTATTGCATTTAGGAAGGTAAAAATTTATAGATGTAATATTAGTTGGGCCCAAGTAAAGATGTGCATTTAGGAAGGTGTTTCATAGGATATGCACTGAAGGTCTGCCTGTATCAGGTTTGCAGTATTATAAATCAATTTGATTGGCTCAGATCGAGTTTTGTGTGTTCAAGTATATATATAATAAATATAATCTAGCCAATTATATTTATTTATAATCATGTGACCAGTAAGCAATCAATGTAATGAACTATATATATAACCACTCTTTATTGTAACCAGTGTTATATAGCCTCTAATAAACTATTAACCTTTTAAGAGCTATATACTTATGTATATTTCGTAGGTAGGAACAGAGTTTAAGTTGATTCGGAATTTTTAAGGTTGGGTTGGGATGTTTAGTGGTCTCCGTCGGGTGAAACCGATTAAAATGATGGGAAAAAATAAATGGCAGAAATCTAATAATTGGCACAATCAACATTTAAAGAAATTTTTTAAAAAAAAAAATTGAAAAAAATGTGTCGATCTGGTAATGCAAACGAAAAATTAACTTTGCGTGGTCTAATGTATAAATTGCTTCAGACTTTAGAAATTTTTTTTAAAAAAATGATAAAATTGTCTTGCATGTAGCAAGTGTCAAGCTTTAGTCGGTAATATAAATTGGATGAAGTCAAGGAAAATCATGAAGAGGAAATTAAACGATGTCAAAGTTTTATGCTCAAAGCAAGCTTGTTGATTTCTTCTTGGACTTTCTAGATTCTTATGATCATTTTACAATGCTAAACCATGCCAACAAGTGTTAAATATAAACATTATCCTGTATTTCTTGGTTCTTTTAATGATCGTGTTGAAATAATTAGAAAGGATGAAAACAATTGTCTATCTAATTGTGAAACTTTATTTTAAACGTTGATATACAGTCGACTCTGGATATAACGAATCTTCCTATAATGAACTCAAAATTTTAAAATTCCATAATAGTTCGGTATAAAAAGTGGCATGGGTTCTTAGGAAAACATGGTAAATTCCCTATAATGATTTTTTTTTCTTCCAGAATCTTCAGTTTGTTATAGAAAGAATTGACTATATTTATTATATGATCGAAAAAATAAACAAAAAATTTCACGAATTTGATGTAAATAAACAAAGTTAAGCTTATACGTATTTAGGCCGTTCGAAGTTAATTCTTCGGTTAACATCACCCCCCCCCCCTCGGTTGAAGCCTCCCCCCGAAAAATGAAC